GTGTCCCGGACCAGGTCCCTCGGGCCCCGCCCAGCAGCCGGCTGCTGGAGGGCAGCAGGGCCATGGGCTTGCCCAGACCGAGGGGCTCCTCTCCGGAAAGACCCGAAGCACACTTGTGGGGCGCAGAGCCCAGCCCCTCACGCTACCGGGAAGCACCAGCTCACTGCACAGCCTCACCCCTGCAGAACTTGCCTTTCCCCGCACTTAGCAACATGGGTTTCTTCCCTACCAGGTGGGAATACAGTAGCAGAAGGAGAAAGCGCAGGCAGGCAATTTCTGGGCCACTGGGCGCGTCCCTGCAGCCTTTGCTGCAAGCTGGGCTGAGTGGGGGCGGGTTCTTCTGTTCCAAGGGAGGCTGCGGGTCAGTTCAGGTGAAGTCCAGGTGAAGGAGAGCTAGTGGAGTCACTGGCAGGACTGCACCTGCCAAGTGGCGAGGACCCCTCGTTTCCCAGGGAATGAGGTTATAGCAGGCTCGGGGCTGTGGACGCGCCACCTGCTGGCCCCGGAGCGCGGGACACGCGCGGTCTGGCGGCGCCACCTGCTGGCCGCTCTGGGAAGAGTCAGCACTGGCCGCTTTTCTGGGTCTTGGGGAGAACGATTCTGGGGGTGGGGGGAGGTGTCAGTGGGGTGCCCCACCAGCTCCGACCAATCCCGCAGTACTCCTGGGCCCGACTGCTGCTCCCTAACACCGCCACCTCGGAGTGGCCCCTTCATTCTCCAACCTCACCCACTCCTTTTTTTTTTTTTTTAGCTTTTGCATTTTTTTTTTTTGGTAAGTCACTGTAAATTACAAAGTTAATCATGATTGAATGTCAGAAATACAATGTGTCAACACCAATCCCTTCACCAGTGTCGACTTTCCTCCACCCAAGTCTTCCTATTTCCTGCCACGGGGAGGGGGGGGAGTTGGGGAGGGTCCCTCTATCCCTTTCGCGGGTGAGGTATGGGTGGGGGATGGGGGTCCTTCACCTGCTCCCTGGAGAGGCTCTTTTTAAAATAACTTTTTTTTTCTTTTTTTGGGTCACACCCTGTGATGCACAGGAGTTACTCCTGGCATTGCACTCAGAAATTATTCCTGGTGGTGCTCAGGGGACCATATGGGATGCTGGGAATTGAACCCTGATTGACGGCGTGCAAGGCAAATGCCTCACCCACTGTACTATCGCTCTAGCTCCTAAAATAACTTTTTAAATAGCACTGTAGCACTGTCCTCCCATTGTTCATTGATTTGCTTGAGTGGGAACCAGTAATGTCTCCATTGTGAGACTTGTTGTTACTGTTTTTGGCATATCCAATACGCCACAGGGAGCTTGCCAGGCTCTGCGGTGTGGGTGGGATACCCTCAGTAGTTTGCAGGGCTCTCCTAGAGGGATGGAACCCGGGTCGGCCACGTGCAAGGCAAACACCCTACCAGCTGTACTATCGCTCCAGCCCAACTTTTAAAATAACTAAATAAATAATATTTTAAATAAGATTAACACTGTTTTTCGGCCATGTCTTCTTCAGCCGAGTCTTAAGGCCCCCAAACGTCACTTTTCTCCAGTTGAAAAAAGGAGAAGCAGCTAACAGCGTCTCCACTGGACTGGGGGGGCAGCTGGCCAGGATGACCTGCCCCACCTGAGGGGAGACCACAGAAGGCACCCCCCCCCCGCCCGGCCAGAATGTGGCTTCATTTCCCTGCGGGAACGGTGGGGTCACAGCTCTGCCACATGCTGACATCGAAGGGGCTTCACAGTGGCTCCCTGAATGCTGGTAGCATGAGTGTGGGGGGCGCTGTCTGGGCAGGAAAGCCTGGGAAGGCCCCCAGCTGGTCCTGGGGGGCTACCAGAGACGGCCACCCCTGCCTGCTGACTCAGCCTGGCTGTCCCTGAATGCCCCAGAACACCCGCCCCAGTGGCCAGGTCCAGCCAACTAGGGCTGGGTCCTGCTAGGAACTTGGAGCATGAACCCTCCCCCTCAAGACACAGCACCCCTTCCCACCTGCGGGGCCCCTCCCCCACTAAAGACTCCGTCCCTTGGTGCTTTTTCCTGTACCCAGGCCTGTCCTGCGTCTGGACATGCGGTGGGCAGAGTCTGTGGCTGAGCTCGTCCCCCCCACCCCGGGGGCTTGCTGCATAGTTGCCGCACCTTCCAGTCTCGATGAAGGTGGGGTGTGGCCGGAAACGCTGCATGTCCAATGTCCAGCAGTTGCAAGGGACGGTGCTGCCCACAGTGCCCGGAGAACCTCAGCTGGCCCAAGTCCTATGACCCCAAGGGCACCCCAAATTGTCCGACAGTCAAGGACTGAGAGTCTGATGTGGTGGGTGGGTGGGATGTGACCCTCGTCGCCGACCCACGGTCAGTCCTTGACCTTGTGGTACTTGCAACATCCCCATTTCCTCGCTTGTCTAAGGTCAGCAGCACTGTGGGAGCTGAAGAAGAAGGTGCAATGGGGTGGGAACCCTACCGGCTCGTCCTTCACGCCCTTCTGAGGCTAAGAGTTGCCCCCCACGGGTGGCTCTCCGGCATGGCCATGGCTCCAGAGGCACAGAAACCAATCTCGTAATTATCTGGCTCTTGGCAGAAATCCCTCCAGACTTAATTAGTAAAATATCAGAAATCCAAAATTGCATGGCCGCGATTGTGGCCGCGCGACATCCTATGGTTCTCATAACCAGCTTATTAAAAAAAAATTATTTCACAATGCAGTTCTGATTGTTGGGACATTCTAAACAATAATGATGCGTCTTTTGTCGAAATAATGAATGTAATCAAAATAGAGAGAGTTAAGTGGAAATCATCTGCCTCACAGGCATTGGAAGGGGTGGGAGGAGGGGTATATTGGGATTCTTGGTGGTGAAAAATGAGTACTGGTGAAGGGAAAGGTGTTTGATCATTGTATGACCGAGGCTTAAACCTGAAAGCTTAGTAACTTTTCCCACAGTGATTCAATAAATAAATATAACAAAAAAAAAAAAAGAAAAGAAGAAGAAGAAGGTGCAGATGCATCGACTGGGGCCTGGGACTAGGCTGTGCCGTCTGGGAGTGCTCCCCCCAGGGTGCTCTCCCTGGGCACTCTCCCTGGGGTGTCATCTGTTGGTTCCCTTCCTGGGGTGCTCTCCCTGGGCTCACTCCCTAGGGCCGCATCTGTAAGTGCTTTCTCTGTAGTGCTCTCCCTGAGGTGCTCTCCTGGGGTGCTCCCCCTGGGTGCCCTCCCCGGATGCTCGCCCTGGGTTCTCTCCCTGGAGTGCTCTCCCTGGAGTGCTCTTCACTGCCTCTTACGTGTGGCAGACACTGGGGCGAGAAGGAAGGAGAAGACGCGCAGCACAAACGTGAAAAGACTCGATCCCTGGAAGAGCCCGGGGAGGAGTTTTAAACAGGAAGGAGAGAGCGCAGGCAGTGGGGGTTGGGGTGTAGATCAGGGCACCCCAGCCAGTGAGGCCGGCTGCACCCAAGGACCCTCCCTAGAAGGGGGAGGGTCTTTCAGTCGGGGAGACCAGTTGGGGCTGGCCCTCTCGGCTGCCCACCGAGATCTGGGGCTTTCCAATCCATCCTGCCCGGACAGTGCCCCACACCCACGCGGGCTCTAGGGAAATCCCCCTGATGTCAGCGAGCTGCAGAGCAGCTGTGACCTCACTGCTCCCACGGGGTCGCGGGCGGGGGTGAAGTCACGTCCCTGTGTGGGGGCGCGATCACACTACGGGGCATGGAAGGGACAGTAAGGAACGTGTCCCAGAAACACACGGATCAGGGGACCTTCCGCTCACCTCCTTTGGCGTCTGATGAGCTTCCAGTGGCAACTGAACACGAGGCTCAATTCCATCTGCTGCCCCCTATGGAAGAAAGGGGACCATCCATCTCCCAGTGTCAAGGGAGGATAAGGGTGCATCTCTGGAACGGCCCAGTCCAGGAAGCAGAGCGCTCTCGGTGGAGGTTTGTTGGACCGGAACCAGGATGCGCCCCTTCCCCTCCCCCACACGGGGCCTGGGGCCGCCTCTCAGCCCGGAAGCTCCAGGACCCTGAGAGGCTGTGAAAGATTGCACCCTTGCAAAGACATTTTTTCCCCCTTCTCTTTCTTTTTTTTAATTTCTTTTTATTTTTGGCTTTTGGGGTGGTGATGCTCAGGGGTTACTCAAAACTCTGCACTCAGGAGTTACTCCTGGCAGTGCTCGGGGACCATATGGGATGCCAGGGATCAAACCCGGGTCTGCCACATGCAAGGCAAACGCCCTTCTCCGCAGTCCTAGGGCTCCTGCCCCATAAATTGAGATTTCAATTTCACTGCAAGAACAAAGCCATTTTCTCCTGGGGCTCAAGGCAGGTGCTCCAGCCCTCCCTACGCACCCCTGCCTGCCTTCATCTTCCATTTATTCATTTTGTTCTTTTAATGGAGAGTTTAGGGTTACAAGTGTTCAAGTATTTGCTATTGATGTATAAAGTTCCTGCCCACCCCCACTCCCCGGCCAATGGCCCTCCCCCCCATGTCCACTCAGAGGGTCCAGCATCCCTTCCCTCCCACCCCAACCCATTATTATTGGTTGACAGATATGATTTTGGTGCAGATAATTAACCCCCCCTTAGCAAGGCCACGTGCGTAAGACCCTCCAGTTACATCCCCGTGTAACAGCCGGGCAGCCTATTTGAACCCCCAACTCCCCCCAAACCTGGCGCTGTCAGGTCTGTATTTTGGAATCCAAGGTGTGTGATCAATTGATATTGTGCACCTCTTTCAATGGTGCCTTTTCTTCGGTGGCGGGGAGGTTGTTTTCGTTTGGGGACTGTGCTTAGTTAGGACTTTTACTCCCGGCTCTGAGTTGAGGGATCCCTCCTGGCAAGGGCTCAGTGGGGGATGTGGGGGCTCAGTGGGGGATGTGGGGGTGGAGAGCCAGAGGTGAAATCCAGGTGGGCTGCGTGGAGGCAAGTGTCTTCCTGGCTCTTCTCTCTCTCTCTCTCTCTCTCTCTCTCTCTCTCTCTCTCTCTCTCTCTCTCTCTCTCTCTGTCCCCAGCCCCCGGGGCCTTCTTCATCTTTTGACCACGGCGGGTAAGACCTTGGCGAAGAAGAGCATGGAGAGCTTGTAGACATGGAGCAGCCGGGCCTGCAGCAGCTTGAAGGCGATGCAGACGATCTCCATGCCGACGATGATGTAGATGGAGAAGAACATGAAGAAGTGGGGGTGCTGCAGGGCGATGTCCCCAAACCCGATGGTGGTCAGCGTGACGAAGCAGAAGTAGAAGGCGTCCTCGAAGTCTAGCTCCTTCTCCCAGATGGGCAGCAGGGCGGCAGCGCAGGAGATGTAGGCGAACACCACTAGCACGATGACGGCCAGCGGTATGTCCAGCCGCTCCACCTGCCGGCCCACCTGGTCCAGGTTGCTGAGGACGGACTGGGAGAGCGGCCCGGATGCCAGCTGGGGACACGAGGAGCTCCGCTCCACGACCCGCGCGGGCAGGGGCAGCGCGCTTTGCTGCTCCCGCACCAGAAGCCGCTCGAACAGCTCCAGGTTGTTGCTGGGCGTCCGGGGGTCCTGCCTGGCTCGGGAGCTCGGGGACTCCTGATCGTGGACAAGGATCCTGGGGAGCGTGGTCTCCCGGGGCTCCGTCTCGCGCCCGTTCCGGCCCAGCAGGCGGGAGCACCACCGCCAGGCCAGGCCCAGAGGGTGGGCGGTCAGCTGGCGGAAGTGGTGGTAAGCCCTGGACAGGACGGTGGCCAGGATGTCGCCGGTGTCTGTGAGGACCAGGAACATGAGCGGGATGCCGAAGAGAGCGTAGAACATGCACAGGTATTTGCCGGGCCGCGTGACCGGGTACAGGTGGCCGTAACCTGGGAGGTGAGAGGGAGTTCGGGAGGGTGGTCAGCCCGCCTGCACCCCCAAGACAACCTGAAAGAGACTTTCCGCCATTCTCCCTCCTCGCCATGACCCTTGACAGCTTTCATCCAGAAGCCTGTACCCACCTGACTGGCATGAGGCTGGCTTTGTTGCAGGAGGGGTCACCGGGGGGTGCAAAGTGGGAAAATGTAGTGTTCCTTTAGGATAGGATTGTTGGGGCACAAGGATAATTTTCTCACCCATCTGGGTTCTGCTGAGGTTAGATAAAGAAACTAACATCAGGGGCCAGAGAGATAGGACAGTGGGTAGGATGTCTGCCTTGCACGCGGCCAACCCGCGTTCAATCCTGGACATCCTGTCCTAGGAGGAGGAGGAGGAGGAGGAGGAGGAGGAGGAGGAGGGAGGAGGGAGGAGGAGGGAGGAGGAGGGAGAAGAAGGAGGGAAGAGAAGGAGGAGGAGAAGGGATGAGGGAGAAGGAGGAGGAGAAGGAGGAGATGGAGGAGGGGGAGGACGAGGAGGGGGAGGGGGAGGAGGAGGGAGGAGGAGGGAGGAGGAGAAGGAGGAGATGGAGGAGGGGGAGGAGGAGGAGGGGGAGGGGGAGGAGGAGGGAGGAGGGAGGAGGAGGAAGGAGGAGGGAGGAGGGAGGAGAAGGAAGGAGGGGGGAGGAGGAGGAAGGGGAAGAGGAGGAAGGAGGGAGGAGAAGGAGGAAGGAGGAAGGAGAAGGAGGAAGGAGGGAGGAGAAGGAGGAGATGGAGGAGGAGGGAGGAGGAGGAAGGAGGAGGAGGAAGGAGGGAGGAGAAGGAGGAGGAGGAAAAGGGATGAGGGAGAAGGAGGAGATGGAGGAGGGGGAGGAGGAGGGGGAGGAGGAGGGAGAGGAGGAGGGGGAGGAGGAGGAGGAGGAGGAGGAGGAGGAAGGGAGGAGGCAGGGCAGGGCGAGGGACAAGTCCCAGAGGAGCAAGGACAGCCTGTCCAGAGTCCCAGCCAGCCGTGTCAGCTGCTTCCGGTTCCAGTTCCTCAGGCGCCCTCAGCTCCAGCCGCCTCTGAGATGTCAGCCCTGTCCCCAGGTCTGCAGAGAGGAGCCACCTGCCGTCTGGAGGGTCAGGAGGGCTCCCCATCCCACCGACCAGCTTCTAGCACAGTCTCAGGAGTGGATTGATTTAGGTTTAGTTCTGCCTTGGGTCCAGACCTGCCTGTGCTCAGGGGGTCACGCATGGCAGTGCTCAGGGGACTGCATGCGGTGCAGTGGATTGATCCTGGGTCTGATGTGTGCAAGGCGATCACCGTGAACATCTCTCCAGCCCTCAGTTTAAAGACAGGAGTGCCATTTTCTTACGGCTTTTCTAGACAGCAGTGCCTCGAAGTGCCACCATCCCCTTCAGAGCCAAACCCGGATGCTGGAAACTACCACCACAATGCCCCCATTAGCCCCGGACTGGTGTCTACTAGCCCAGTCTCAGGCTGGGGTGTCGGGGACTGTCCTGGGTCATGCGACCCACAGCTGACAAAGGGCAATTGATGACTCTCCCCGCCAATGCCCCAACCATGTTCTCCTTGATAAAGGTGGGCCAGGGGCTTACACGCGATCTCTGTGGCTGTCTCTGGCAAGGGGGATGGGGGGTAGGTGTGGACTATCCACAAGGCAGCTGTGATCCAGAAAATGCAAGGAAGTGAGTCTCAGAGAAGACACAGCTGCTCCAGAGGGAATGCCCAGCTTAAGTGAATTACCGACGGTCGCTAAGACTAATGCAAGAGCCCATCCTTGCTTCTAATGCACTCTGCTTCCACTTAGCTGCTGCGGGCAGAGAAGCCTGCCCCCTCCCACCTCCCAGGCTCATCCAAGGGGCCGACCTAGCTGGAGGACCAGTATGACCATCCGCACACCTTTCGGGGGGGTCTCTTGCTCCGCTTCAAGGCAAGATGTGTTTCAGATGACTGGGAGGTGTAGGCCAGGAAGTAGGGATTCCTAGCAGAAGCTCTGAACCCCATTATTGCTTTTACAGGCAGTGAAGAAGCTTCCCCAACCTCCTCTTCTGGCTGCAATTACTGGGCAGCCCGAGGTCATCATTGATCTGAGCTGTGAGTAGTAGGATGCCTTTCTCCCGAGCTAATGCATGCCCATTAGGCAGTTGGTTCCAGCCTGGATTCCCATTTGAATCACCTGGACAGCTCTGAGAGACAGGTGGGGGCCTGAGAACTGTGGACGGACAGGTTGGGGTGGGGTTCAGGCCAGGCACGGCAGCTGGTAAGAAACACCTGGTGATACCCAAGCGCCTGCTGATGTCAGACCATGACCAGGGACATTGGCCTTGCACCCTCCGAGAGACATCTGCCAACATCTGGAGAAACTTCCGCTGTTGCAGTGGGCGGAGAGGAGAGAAGGACATCTGGCTTCTGGTGGGTAGAAGCCAGTGCTGATACAAAACATCCTACAGTGCTCAGAGAGGCCCCCTTGGACCTCAATTCCCACCTTAGTCCAAGATGTCAGTAGTACCCAGCTTGAGACCATCTGCCTTAATCCAATCCCTGAAAGTTCTCTGGGGAAAGTAAGCAAATCCCTGTCTCTCAGCCCCTCTCCTCGGCACCAGTGTCCTCCTTGTTCCTGTAAACCGCCCCCTGAGCTGGGGATCCCCTTGCAAAGGCTTGTGTGTGTGTCCAGCCTCTGCCTCACTGGTGCCACCTAATGGGACACTCCCTCTAGAGGTTGTCATGTATTTAAGACGATGCAGAGGGAGCACATTGGGGCCCCGCCTGGCCTTGGCAGGTGGGGCACAGCTGTTCCCTATACTCTGCCTGTTTCCTGCGGGATTCAGGAATTCAGGTTGGATTCAGGGGTAGGCCAAGGACACTCAGGTGAATGAGAACAGTTCTGAAAGAAACCTCCAGGGGGCGCCCTGGGACACGAGTCCAGGAGCTGCGGATTTGCAGGGACCGCAGTTGCAATGGCCCCAGAACTTTCCTTCTTCCCTTGCAATGAATGCCCCGAGTTCCTGCTGTGCCACTGTTTCCCTCCCCGCTTCAGGGGAAGATCTGGGGGAAAGTGGGTTCGTTTGCGAGGGACTTCAAGGAGAGCGCCCCGCTGGCGTCCAGGTCAGCCCTTACTCTGGGCACAGGGTGATTCTGCCCAGGTGGAGTGGACTGTGGGGGCAACCTGGTGACCTGCTGAGCACAATGGACAGACCCTGAAGCCGCATGCCTCACTGAGCTACCCAGCAGCTGGCCCTTGCACTGACCTCCCCTCCCCAGGACTCTTTCTGGTGGGTGTGTCTCAGCCCTTTTAATTTTTTTGGAATGGGGTGGTGGTCCCGGTTGTAGCAGCAGAAGGAGCCTGGGCTGTCGGGTTCAGCTGAGTGACTCCAGCCCCGACAGGAGCCTGGGAGGAGCCAGGGGTCAGTGAAACAGGTTCGGAAGATACCTTCACTGGCCACCGGCCGCCCACAGCTGGTCACTGCCCGAGTGTGAAGGGACAGAATGGTGGGGAGCTGCTGATGAGCAGGGGCTCTGGGACCCTCATGGCCACCTCCCAAAAGGTCTCGCGGGGACCCCAGCACTGAGCTGGCTGTCACATGGAGACCTGGCAGCCAGTTTCAGCGCCCAAAGGACAGGGCTGGGCAGTGAGGTGGCTGTCGGGGACACGAGCCAGGAGTTCCGGGTGGTGGCCGAGGGCAGTTCCCCCACCCCCATGGGGGGGGGGGGTTGCCTCCTGGTTCTCATCCCTCCAGAGAGACGCTAAGCCCAGGGGTGTCTGCTGGGAAAGTTCCCTCTCCTGTCCCTCCCCAGCCAGCCTCTACTGAGCCTTCAGGTCACCCCCCACACACACACACACACAGGGTCAGCAGCACTGCTCAGCCGCAGAGCCCCACAAGCTCTGGACACTTGCTTTGGTGGGGGCTTTGCCTCCCCATGTGGACACTCAGTAGTGTGGGGGGCTCTTCTCCCCATAGGCGTAGTGGATCTCAGCTCCCGGACCCCCACGAGAAAGAGGGGGTCCCGCTCTTTCGCCCCACGCCAGACTCGTAGAAAGTCACACCATTGAGGACACTAACCTCGCATGCAGCCAACTTGGCTTTGATCCCCAGGACCCCATATGGTCCCCCGAGTCCCGGAGCTGTGAGCTGTGTGACCCTTGCAACATAGCTGACTGAGGCACCCCGGTGGAGTGTGACTTGGTCCCTGATGTCACCTTCCTGAGCTCAGATCCCAGCTGATGTGTTGGGTGGGCTTTCTGGTCATTGTTGTTGAGTGCTGGGGCCGCATCAGCCATACTCAGGGCTCACTCCTGGTTCTGTGTTCAGGGGTCACTCTTGGTGGAGCTCAGGAAACCAGATGGGATGTTGGGGGTCCACCCGGGTTGGCCGCATGCACAGTGAGCGCCCTGCCCGCTGTGCTATGGCTCTGGTCTCCTCTGTAAGCATTGAGGGAGCATTTCTCATGAGGACCCACGCACCCCAGCACAGCTGCAGTTAGCTCTCCAGCCTCCCCTCTGCTGAACACCCCCTCCACACCCCACCCTAGCCCATGGTTCTCCTCTGCTCTGGGAAGGCAGGGCCATGGGGGGCTGTAGCCGCTGCCCACTGGGGCCCCAGGCCCATACCCGCAGCCAGGGATTCTCGGGCGCACGAGCCCTGAGCAGCCCCACCAGCCCAGGGACCATCTGGCCAGCCACATGGGACACCTTGGGGTCCTCCTCCTCCTGGCCCTGTTCTGGCAGACTCCTCCAGGCTCCTGCAGCCCCCAGGAGTGCTCGTATCCACACCCCTGGTCTCCCCTGGTTGTCCTGCCCACGCCAGCCCCTCTCTGCGGCAGCTGGAGAACTTTCTGGAATGCTGAGCTCCCCTCCCCCACCAAATCCTTCCTTGGATTAAAACCCCTTGAGACACCCACCACTTTTCAGATACCCCCCCTCCGTGGCCTGGCTGGTGGTCCCTTCCTGGGAAGCTCCCCTCTCTCCTCGCCATGCCTGGCATGTCCTTGGCCGTGCTCTTGGCCTGGGTCCCTTCCTCCCTCACCCCAGTGACTCCCGCCTGGTGCAGATGCCACCTCATTCAGGGGAGCCTGGAGACAGCCTGGGCATCGGGCAGGCACTGGCAGGCGGGTTGCATTTTGGGGGCAGGGTGCACCCAAGCATTGCTGGGGCTACCAGGGGCTACTCCTGCCAATAGGCAGCCAGGCCAGCAGACACTTCAGTGCTCTAGCCCAGTGGTGTTGGGGACCACCCAAGCCACACCTGGCCAGGCTGGGCATCGGGCATGTGGTGCCAGGGACGAAACTAGGCCTTTGCTTGCACCCTTGGCCTGAGCTATCTCCACGGAATCTCATCAGTTCAAAAGCCCAGACTCAGGTGCTGGAGTGATAGCACAGCGGGTAGGGCGTTTGTCTTGCATGTGGCCGACCCGAGTTTGATTCCCACCATCCCATGTGGTCCCCTGAGCACCGCCAGGAGTAACTCCTAAGTGCATAAGCCAGGAGTAACCCCTGTGCATTGCCGGGTGTGACCCCCCGCAAAAAAAAGCAAAAAAAAATAATAATAATAATAAAAAGCTCAGACTCAGCCAGGGGCAGGAAAAGGTTCCCAAGGGTCTCACCCTGTGTAGGAACGCATCCCTCTGGGGTCCCTTACCAACTGTCCAGCGTCCCTTACCAACTGTGGAGCCCCTGGCGCCTGCACCCAGTGAGACCAGTGTCCATGCTCAGGGGCCACAGCCCGCTTCCCCCCAGGTCTCACCCGTGGACTCACCTACGGTGCTGAACACAGTGCAGCAGAAAAACAGCGAGCTCAGGAAAGACCAGTCGCCCGCCTGGCTGAACCAGCCCGGCCTCACCGTCTTCAACAGATTCCCCAGCTCCTGCTTCCAGCCGTCCTCGTCCTCAACTGCACATGGAAAGGAGGAGAGAGAGAGAGAGAGAGAGAGAGAGAGAGCACTCAGTTCCACCCCCCAGCAAGCAAGAGGGCCAGGCCAGGGGGGCCCCCTCAGTAGTGGGCTCTTGGAACCCAGCTCCGCCAAGACTCTGCATTTCAGGTGATGCTCTCACATCCCGGAACTAGGAGAGTCCTAACACCCTGAGAGAAGAGCCCCCCCGCTATCCACCCCCCCTCTGCCAGCCATGGGTTGGCACTGCAGCCCAGGGCCTTCCTGAGTCTGCCTTGCTCCACCGTGCAGCCTGGCTGGCAGGGCCAGGCTCCCTTCCACTCAGCCTCTCACCCCTCTCAGGAAAAGTTTTTGAGCGCCACGTGGCTGCAAACAGAAGCCGCTCCTCACGGTCATTCGTCTGCCTGCGAGCCTGCTGGGATCCGTGGGCTGTCTAGGCCCAGGACCCACAGGGCAGGATTGGATGTCCGGGTGCAGGGATCCCTAAATGGTCCTGCTGGACGGAGCAGCCCAATAGCCGTCCAGTTCTAAGAGAAGGGAGTCCCTTCCCTTCTGAATACGCTCCCTCGGGAGTCGGCCCTCACCCGCTCTGCCCCTGACCGCTTCCGGGAGCGGTGGACAGATAAGAAGCATCTTTCTGGACCTCACTCACGAAAGGAGTGTGACCAAGTGTGACTGCGGCTCTGGCTGGGTGGGAATTCAGGCTCTGGGTGCCCGCCGTGACCTGAGTAAGTTTCTTCACTCCCCCCCCCCCCCCGCCCCCGGGTGAACAGCTTCCATAAGTGTCAGGGAGGAAGTTTATCCGCTTCTCCTGTGGCTTACAGAGTGCAGGGTGCTCAGCCAAGAGGCTGCATCTCAAGGACACGGTGGGTGGGACTCCCTTCCAGCCTGTCTTAAGTATAAGTTTCCGGGACGCCCGAGAGATAGGACCGTGGGGAGGGCACATGCCTTGTGCATAGGTTCAATCCACGGCTCCCCCCCCACATCCAGAGGCTCTCCTGTGCCCTGCCAGAATGATTGATTCCCTGAGTGCAGGGCCCAGAGTAAGCCCTGAGCACCGCTGGATGTGGTCCCAAAACAAAAAAAAACAACTTTTCCCAACCCGGGGGATCCTCAGCCTGAGGATGTGGTTCAGGCACCCAAACTCAGCACTGCTGGACCAGGGTTGGAATGGTATGGACTCTGGTGGGCATGGGGGCTGGCCATGAAGGCCTGGATGCCGAGATAGGAAGTCGGACCTTTCTCCAGGGAAGAGCTACGTCCCTGCCCCCCGGTCCCAGGCTCGCGGGCCCCCTCAAAACACCTGGTCCTCCAACCAGGTGGGGAGAATAGGAGGGGGGGGGCAGGAAGGGCGGAGTCGACTCTCCTGGTCTTTGTGCATTTGCTCCATTACTGACTCACTCTCGGAACACAGCTCCACCGAGTAGAACTAAGTGGCTAAGGACGAGTGAAATGCAATAAGGACGCAGAAGACGGAGTGCCTTGCCGCCCTCCCGCCCATTATCTCATCACGTCCAGCCTGTCCCCACGTTCGGGAATCTGAGATTGCCACCTTTTTACCTTTTTCCCTCCCCGAGATTGCTCTGCTTCCAAACACACAGGGTGCTGGAAGAGCAAGGTGGGTCCTGCACAACCCCCTCCCCGCCAATTTCTCACAATTCTCCCCTGCAACCAGAAAGAAAGACGGTGGGAAACTGCACATGACCCTGGGGGGATTGGGTCGAGGTACTCACTGCCTTGGGTGGCCAAGCCCAGGCGGACTGTTCCTGGGACCCGGGAAGGGACTAGTGGAGGACCAGCCTAGGGCACCGACTGCCGCGGCAGAGCTGTCACCCGGCCACCCCGCCCTCCCCAAGCCTCCGGGGATCCCTCCTCCAGCGCCCGGCTGGGCAGGGTGGGGCTGGGAGCCGGCGGCGGGGCCGGGGAAGTGGTCCCCACCCGCACCTTGCCCTGTGGATGATATTCCACAGCATCCCCCAGGAGCCCCTATTCTCCCCCATTTTACAGGCGTGGGGAAAGCCGAGCGTGGGGGTGGCCGGGGAACGGAAAGCAGAAAGGCGGTGGCCCCCTCGGTCCAGCCCTCGACCCCCCACCCCTTCCCCCCCGCCCCGGGCGAGCACCGACCCGTTCCGTTGCATCTCAGGAGGCGGCGGAGCGCCCGCAGGAATTCCTCGAACTCGGGGTCCTTGGCCGACAGGTCCTGGCCGCCCTCGATGAGCGAGAAGAGCAGCGCGCCCAGCAGCGCGTAGGTGACCAGCGAGCAGAGGAAACAGAGGCGCGGCAGGAGCTTGGCCAGGGCGCGCGGGCAGCAGCGGCCACCGGCGCGGGGCGGCCCCGCGGCCTCCATCCTCGCGGGGAGTGTCCAGCCCGGCGTGCGCGCCCCGCGCGTCTCCTGCCCAGCGCCCAGCGCCCAGCGCGCCCCGCGAGCGCCCCGTGGCCACGGCTCCGCCCCCACCCACGCGCGCCCCTCCGCCCCCAGCTCGGTCCCCCGGGGGCGGCGTTGCAGCTCTGGCCCGTGTCCCGGATCCCACCCGGGCTGGCCGGCACGGGGGGAGGGGGGAGGGCAGGGTGGGCGCGGTGGTCCCGGGGCGCTGCGCCAGGAAGCGATTAGTCCGGAGCTCTACCGGTTTTTTTTTTTCTTAGAAAAGTTTTTTTTTTTTTTTAATAAATCGATGTATTTCAACGTTGTTAACATGATAACTCAACGCTGTATCAAGGTAGCGAAAATGAAGATTCCTGGTATTTTTCTTTATATAAACACTATGAACGACAGTACATTTATATTCAACTTCACAAGAAATTGTCTTCAGACTCATGAAGATTCTTTAACAGCTGTAACACCTTTCAGACAATGAAGATGTACACGAAGTGATTAAGCAGACAATGAAAAGGTAATACCTAAGCTATTTTCTCAAACCGTTTACAGAGGCTTTTCTCCCGGGATCGTCTAGTGGGGGGTGGGGTGGGAGGGGCTTCATCCTGAGCTCCCCTGGAGCGCGACCACCCGGACCTTGACCCGGGATGGGGGCCCAGCATACGCACTTGCCTCGAACTCGAACTCGAGTTGCAGAACTTTTCCACTCAGTTCCTGGGCACAGATCAAAGGCTGCAGGGGACTTGGGTTCAGTCTCTAGCATCGCGGGGATCCCCCAGATCTCCCGGGAATGCCCCCTCTGCCCCTCCCCACAGCTATAGCCTGGAGTAACCCCCCCTCAACATCTCCGGGTGTGCCCCCTCCTAAAATAAAAGAATAAATAACAAATGAATAAATAATAAATAACATAAGTAATAATGAACAACAAAATAATCTCTTGTCAAATAAAGAATAAATAACATAAATAGACAAGAAAAATAATCTCCTGTTAAGACCGGTGCTCCTTCACAGTGCTCAGTCTTGACTATGAGAAAAGCGGCCCCCAAGAGCTGGTGTGGGGATACATGCGATCCTCATTCCCCTTTGCAGAAGGATTCTCTGGGCGATAGTGCAGTAGGGAAGGCACTTGCCTTGCACTAGGCTGGCAGGGCTTTAATACCCAGCACCAGATAACGGTCCCCTCATCCCTACCAGGAGTTGCCCTGAGTTCAGAGTCAGGAGTAAGCTTGGAGCACTGCTTGGTGAGGACCCAAAGGGTTAGAGAAGGGACCAAGATGACAATAATGGTTGGAAATGATCACACTGGACTAGAACTGAGTGTTAGGAGTGGGTAAAGGGATTTACAGGACAGTCTTTCAGTACCTGTATTGCAAACCACAATGCCCAAAAGAAGAGAAAGATAGAGACAGGGACAGAGACAGAGACAGAGAGAGAAGTGCCTGCCACAAAGGCAGGCTAGGGTTGAGGGTGATGGGAGGGAAACTGGGGACACTGGTGCTGGGAAATGTACCCTGGTGGAGGGATGGGTGTTGGAACACTGTATGAATGAGACCTAATCATGAACAGCTTTGTAAGGATCTCACGGTGATTCAATTAAACTAATTAAAACAATTAAAATAGAGTATCCCTCAACCCCACCCTCCCCTTCTCCTAAAAACCCAAAACCGGAACAAATTCTTTCTGCAGCCCAAGGACCATGGTTCAACAGCATCTTACTTATCTCCCTTCCAAGGTTGGCCTCAGTTTTTGAGCTTCTTTGAAGGTTCCTGTCCCAGGACTAAGCAAGGCATGGGTGCTGAGCGTGCTTGTACGGTGCCACCAGGGACACTTCCAGCCCGTGTCAGGGCTCTAGGGAGGCTGGTAGGGTGGCCAGAGACTGTCCGTTGGTGTCAGACTTCTCCAGTTCCGCCCCACTTCCTCCCTCCTTTCCTTGCCTCTGCAAAGGGTGTTGTCACTTGCATATTTGCTTCTCAGAAAATCCACTCTGGGTGCGGGCATGAGAATGCAGGCTCTAACCTGGGGTTCGAGGAGAGGACCTCGCGGGTCGCCCACCACCCACCAGGTAATTCTCACAATGGGACACCTGGGGTGGGGTGCCGAGGGAAGGATGTGTGTTGAGGCATTTGAAATGTATTGCAAAATGATTCCTAGAAGGATGACAAGTTAGAGGAAGACCACAGCATGGCGTTGCTCCCTGGAGGGCAAGTTTAGAAAACGGAATTATGTAGGACAAAGGGATTCTTCTCCTCCATTTGTTCTCAGGGCTGACCCTGTTTCCCAGCTCCTTCTCTCCCCTTGCTCTCCAGACCCCTCCCGCCCACCACCACCACCATTCTCTGCCACCACCATTCTCTTGGTCCTGGTGGTTCTCCAAAGGCAAGACCCAAATCATCTTGGGAGAAGGGTCTGGTTCCTCAAGGGAGCTCATCCTTCCCGGGTTGGAAGTCTGCGAACATCCTTGCATGGACACATTGAGTGAGAAGTACCAAGAGGAGCCCAGGTGTGTCACCCGAGTTCCACTCACCCCCTCTTTGCCACCAATGTTGGAAGCAGCTCTTCCTCCTCTGCTGACGAAGTTGATGGCCCTCGATGGTAGGGTCACACCTGCTTTTACTTGCTGGTTCCTCAACACAAGGATCTTAAAGTGGGCAGGAAGCAGCCACAGGGTGTCATTCCGGTGGTCCCCAACCTCCTAGTGACAGGAATAAGATCTCTAACTCAGCAGAGCCCTAAGTAGTAGGTTTAGAAGACTGTAAGGGTATGTGGCTAGACTTAGGGTCTCTCCAGAATTCATCTTCCTGTCGGAAAAGCCTAGTTGCATGCACTGTGGGCCTGGGTCTCCAGAGCTTCTGGTACCCTCCTCCCTCCCTGAGTCCCGCTCCTTCTCTCAGGATAAAAACCCTGGTTCTGGCTCGTTAACTTTTATTTTTAAATTTTATTTTTTAATGAAGTAGCTCACAGTACTCTATTACATTTAATATTCAAACACCAATCCCACCACCATTACACCTTCCCACTACCATAGTTTGGATGTTTCCATCCCAAACCCCTGCCCCAAAGGAGAACCGAAATAATTTATTTTGTAATATTTGTTATGATTAAACCACTGAAAAGGCTCCAAAAAACTTTCCTTAGAGGAGAATGTTTTAAGATTCTTGTATTTCACCCAGGGGCCATTAAACCCTTTCATAAGAGATTACTAATATGTTGTTAAGGGTTGAGCTTTGTGTGCGTATCTATATCTATCTATCTATCTACCTATCTATCTATCTATATCTGCATATATGTCTATAAAAATATATTTCCCTCTAAGTTTGGCTGCCTTTTACTTTAAACCCCAACAAATGTGGTGCACTACTCTAGGAGTATGGGTGGTGTGAAGTATGAGATGTCGTGGCTGCGTGGTCCAGGAATGGGTTCACTCGTGGGTGAGGCTCTGCCTGAGCGTGTGGAGAGCGGCCATGAGCCTGGTGGAGGTTGAGTTCTGGAAGTTTTCAACTGCCAGGCCTAGGTCCCTTGGGGCAGGGAGGGGCCTCACCCACATCCCCCACCCCCCCGTACCTTGAATGAAACAGCCTGTCATGGGGTTCGGTGGCATGGCTATGGCATTGCTGTGCTTTGCTCTCTTCAAGAGAGGACAATGAGTCTCTGGATCATGGCCGTTGATGAGATTATCTGGCACCAGTCAAAGGTGGCTTGTGAGAGTGACTGCCGAGTTGTGGAAGTGTGAGGGGACATGGGCGAAGGTCATCCATTTCCAGTTCTGTTGAACCTGGAGTTTTCAGTCATAAGTCCTGCATTGCTCTGTTTTCTGCAGATTCACTTGTGGATGAGGCTTGGCCCAAGTGTGTGGAGATCTGGCCCATTAACTTTTAGAACCTAAATCCATTTAGTTCTTATTACACCTGTTTCAGTTTGTTCTTTACTTCTAAGAATCTGTTCAATGCTAATTTGATTGCTCAGCTGGTAAATTCTGCCCTGAGGAAGATCAGAGGGGCTTAGGGAGCCAGCCAACAAGCCCTTGCTCAGGCATCCAGAGGCTGTAGGTGTGTGAAGGTAGGTCCTGCTGTCCCTGGGGAAGAAGATGGAGCCATGTGGACTTGAGTCAAGTGACGGGGACTTAGGAAGTGAGGTACAAGAACTATGTGTCTTCTGTGAGGGGTGAAAATGTCATGATGTGGGGGGAGGGGTGGTCACAGAGGACTAGGGAAAGAAGAGGTACATGGGGTTCAGGGAGAGAAATATGGGGGCAGATCAGGGGTGCCCGGTGTGACTGAGATCAAGTTTTCTAGCTCTGAAGGTGGGTGGAAATAAAAGCAAGTTTCTCCCCACCCCCTTGGAAATGAAAAACTCTTTTGGTGGGAACTGAGGTCAAAAGGCACAGGCAGCACAGAATTATCAGCTCAGGCCAACTCCCAAGATGCAATGGAGCACCCCAGTCTGGCAAGAAAATGCACCGATGAAGAGAAAGCCACGCAGGGGGCTGGAGCCATAGTACAGCAGGGGTGGGGGGTGGTGTTTGCCTTACATGCAGCTGACCCAGGTTCAATCCCCAGCATCCCATATGGTCCTCTGAGCATTGCCAGGATTGATTTCTGAGTGCAGAGTAACCTTCCAGCAATGCTGAGTGTGACCCCCAAAACTATAAATAAATAAATAAATAAATAAATAAATAAATAAATAAGAGAATCCCCCCTGCCCCTGCGAGGGCTTGAAACCCGAGCAAGGGAAGGAAGAAAATAACCTAGGGACATGCCTGCCCATGTTCTCTGCTCTGGCCCTTTATGTTTATTATGTCCATTAAACTATTTTTAAAAATCCTTGAGACAGGGTCTAGATAGATAATACAGTGGGTAAGGTGCTTGAACTCAAATGACCCAGATTTGATCCTTGACACCAGGTATGGTTCCCCAAGCCTCACCAGGAGTGATTCCCTGAGCTCAGAGCCAGGAGTCAGCTCTGAATACCTCCAGGTGTAGCCCAAACCTC